AGGGGGGCAGCATTTATAAGTAAACAGATTCCCCAAAAAGTCCCAAAACAACTCTAAATAATGACTAAAGTGAGTAAAAAAAAAAAATACTATAAAAAAAAAACAAAACAAAAAACACCACACACACCACTATATACAACTACACTCTTTTTAAAGGTGCAAGAGGATACTAATAGTTCTGACCTGGATTGGGTGGGAGTGAAAAGGAACTGGAGACATGCTTACTCTGCCCCACCCTTTATCGCTTCAGACAAAACCATGAGGCAAGGCAAGGGCACATTCATGAATCAACGGACACTACTTTCAAGTTCTCCAGCTCCTGACGCATGGCGCACATGCATAAACCTTCAATGGAATACTATAGGGACCATCACTCAAAGAAGAATTAGGTGAACAGTTCTCTGGTGTGCTCTTAGAGCACCACTACCCTTACTCAGAGGGGATAGTGTGGTTACAAAACAGTATGATATTGTCTAAAAAGAGTTATTAATCCTAAGGTAGAGACTCTCACAAGACCTTGTGCACTGCTTAAGCCTCACTTAGCCCCTACATTCATGGTTTAAGCAGTGAAAGGGGCTTTGTTGGCCCATCTGAGCAGGGTGATTTTCACCCAAAATATTTTCATATACTGACAAAAGGTATTTAGCAAAAATCAAAGAAAAAAATAAAACCTTTTCTTTACAGAACTTTACAAACATTGGATTCAGTTAAATAGCCAGTGCAAAAAGTGACTGCTTCTGTACCAAAATTTTGTAGGACTTGGTATTTTTGTAACTAAGTTATACATTTGTTTTTTTGAAAACAGTTTATAATAGGAAATTTGAAACACTTATCTAAAGTTGGACTGTTGGATCAATATAATTAACTGTATTCTCGAAGAGAAATTATGAGCACAATTAAATATTTTGCTGCATTTTAAAAAAATATATATATTTTGTATTTTTAACTTGAAAGATCAGCTGCTATATTTACTGTTAAAAGGCTGATTTTTCTTCTGTTATCTGTGAATTGTTGCTAGCTGCTGCCCCCAATAAAATGATGGTTGCAGTTGTCTACAACCTACCTGGAGGCAGATGATATTCCTGTGGAGAAAGCAGGAAGTGGGTGGGGGAAAACCAGGACGTTTGAGGAGACAGTGCCCTCACAAACAGAATTGCAGCCCAGGGAAGGACAGGGTCCTGATGAGGAACAAGAAGAATGAAAGTTGCCAAGAAAAGGGCATCACTCAGGGAAAGATATGGAAGGGAGGGCCAGAATGGATGCACAAAGATGGTGGAGAAGGCCGAGGTGGCTGTGAGGGAGAAGACAGATGAGAACTCCAGGGAAGGAAGAGACTCTCAGAGGCAAAGCTAAAGGATACAGGGACCAATATGGAGACTAACCAGTGCGCAGTTGGAACTCAGACTCTGGAGAAAAAGGATATTGGGAGAGTCTGCAAGGGCAAAAGCTACATGAAAAGTTGTTAGCAACAGAGCAAGCATTACAAGTAGCCATAGAGGACATGCAGTTTCAGAAGGAGAAACTCAGAAATAACGTGGAAGAGAGGGGTAAACGATTTCTCATGGTAGGTGACCAGGAGCAGGATGACCTGTGGAGCCAGCTCCAGCAACTCCAGGGGAGAAGGCATCCATACCTCTGAGGGATGTAGTCTTTAAGAGGAGGGTGTGTGACTGGGTGTCCATCCCCACAGGGCCAGAGGGATAAATTAGCTCATTTAACCTATAGGCTGCATCTGGAGTGCTAAGGCCTGATTGCTGATGAAGGATAAAGGGCTACAGCTTGAATTCCGTTGGCACAAATGAATAAAGCCTAAAATCACTAAAGCAAAGAAATTGTGAAGCTGCATCTTGCTCAAAAGAAATGTGTAGGTATTAAAAACAATTATAGCTGTGGAGGTACCCAGCTGGGTTCTGTAGTTTGTTGTACTAACGATATATCTCTTACATGAAAAATCAAATGTTAATGTAGTAATTAATATTCAGGTTACCTAGGGAACCTGAGACTAAAAACTCTAGACAGAGAAGCCTGTGGGGCAGAAGCAATCCACCCCACAGTAGTTTCCAAAGCTTTAGGAATGAGCCTTCTGGAGAAAAAGCAAGGCTCTTTCGCCCATCTTTTTAATGTTCTCGGATTCACTGTAATATCCAAGAAGAGTGAGGTCTTGGTTTGGTTAGAACAAGTGTAGATTGATGTAAATCTGTAAAAGGAGGAAGAATTCAGGTGGGCTTTAAAGCAGAGAGGTTAAGAGATAGGCTAGTGGAGTTGCCATGCTTGTGTTTTGATTGGTGATAAAGAACAAGAATAAGGCTGAATTTTGAGACAAATGGGCTCCTGGGAAAAAATTTCTGACCAAGATTCATATGTAGTACTAAGTATTGGAAATAGTAGATGTTCAGACACACTTTTCCTTATTGCATCAGTCACTTGTCATCTGCACTCCATTCAGTTGTGGTAAAACTGTATCGCAAGATACTACAGCTGCTGGTATCGCTCTGCCATAGTGAGCTGGAGGACGGATGAAGAAGTAGGAACAGCAGTGGGGATGGATGATATACCCAAGCATGTGACACAGTATGTCCCTCATTGGAGGCACAAAGGCAATAACCAGAAGACAAGTGCCAGGCGGGCCATGCACCCCAGTGGACAGTCTAAAGTTGGTGGAAGTGTTGTTAGCACAGGGTAGACAGACACCCTGAAATGGAGAGAAAGAACATGAAACCCTTATCTACCTATGAGGCCTGGGCAAAAATTCATCATACAAAGGTGACTGTGGTGTGTGTGTGTGTTGGAGAGGTTTGGATTTGTTTAGTGGCATTCATTGACTTTGAGAGGTAGGAGGGAAACAAAATTCACCACACAGCTATCAGAACACGGACCACTGGTTGAGAACGAGAACAGTCCCACACAAAGCTGTAGGTAAAAGCCACCACTGAGCTCTGTAAAGTATGAGCACTCCGTGGGACAGTGCTGGAGAAGAATATTTGGACCGGGGGTGGGGGGGGGGAAAAGAGACATAACAGCCGTACTGGGTCAGACCAAAGGTCCATCTAGCCCAGTATCCTGTCTACCGACAGTGGCCAATGCCAGGTGCCCCAGAGGGAGTGAACCTAACAGGTAATGATCAAGTGATCTCTCTCCTGCCATCCATCTCCACCCTCTGACAAACAGAGGCTAGGGACACCATTCCTTACCCGTCCTGGCTAATAGCCATTAATGGACTTAACCTCCATGAATTTATCCAGTTCTCTTTTAAATGCTGTTATAGTCCTAGCCTTCACAACCTCCTCAGGTAAGGAGTTCCACAAGTTGACTGTGTGCTGTGTGAAGAAGAACTTCCTTTTATTTGTTCTAAACCTGCTGCCTATTAATTTCATTTGGTGACCCCTAGTTCTTGTATTATGGGAATAAGTAAATAACTTTTCCTTATCCACTTTCTCCACATCACTCATGATTTTATATACCTCTATCATATTCCCCTCTTAGTCTCCTCTTTTCCGAGCTGAAAAGTCCTAGCCTCTTCAATCTCTCCTCATATGGGACCCGTTCCAAACCCCTAATCATTTTAGTTGCCCTTTTCTGAACCTTTTCTAGTGCCAGTATATCTTTTTTGAGATGAGACCACATCTGTATGCAGTATTTAAGATGTGGGCGTAGCATCGATTTAGATAAGGGCAATAATATATTCTCCTTCTTATTCTCTATCCCCTTTTTAATGATTCCTAACATCCTGTTTGCTTTTTTGACCGCCTCTGCACACTATCCACGATGACTCCAAGATCTTTTTCCTGATTCGTTGTAGCTAAATTAGCCACCACCATCATATTGTGTGTATAGTTGGGGTTATTTTTTCCAAATGTGCATTACTTTACATTTATCCACATGACATTTCATTTGCCATTTTGTTGCCCAATCACTTAGTTTTGTGAGATATTTTTGAAGTTCTCCATAGTCTGCTTTGGTCTTAACTATCTTGAGCAGTTTAGTATTGTCTGCAAACTTTGCCACCTCACTTTTTACCCCTTTCTCCAGATCATTTATGAATAAGTTGAATAGGATTGGTCCTAGGACAGACCCTTGGGGAACTGGTTAACCACTAGTTACCCCTCTCCATTCTGAGAATTTACCATTAATTCCTACCCTTTGTTACCTGTCTTTTAACCAGTTTTCAATGCATGAAAGGACCTTCCCTTTTATCCCATGACAATTTAATTTACATATGAGCCTTTGAAGAGGGACCTTGTCAAAGGCTTTCTGGAAAGACAAGGGTAGTAGCAAGAAGACTCATTGTGCCGGTCAGTTTTGCACAAGCTGAGGCAGGTAGTGGATAGCCATCTTATACCCTGTGCCTGCAGCGGGGCCACTGGGGTTTGTGCAGCATAGAATTGCCAGCTGTTATATTTACTTAAGTGTTTGTCCAAAAGGTTTCTCCCTTAGATCCATACCTGTTCCTTGTACTAATTCACTCCCTCACCCCCTTGTTTGTCTTTGGGTCTGCTAGGCTGGAGTCATCTGCAGAAGGCAGCAGAGCTATGATACTAAGAGAGATGTTTGCTCAACATTAGGTGGGACTGGTTTCTAGTAACATAGGAATTGCCATACTGGAACCGAGCAGTGATTTATCTACTCTAGTACCAGTCTCTGGTAGCTGCCAGTACTAGATGCTTCAGAGGAAGGTGCAACAAATCTCAGTTATGGAATAACCCACGCATGGGGGAAGCTTTTTTCAAACCTCATTAACTCAAGATTAGTTTATGCCTGGAAGCACAAGGCTTTACATCTCTTATAAAAATGTATTTTATCCTATCTATTCTATTCTTCATAGCTGCAGGGAGGAACATGGTGATCCTGTACAACAATACTAAACATGCCTGTGAGGTTGGTAAGTGCTATTTCCATTTTACAGATGGGCAAACACAGACAGAGAAAAGTTAAGTAGTTCACCCGCGGATACCGTTGTCTAGCCATTAAAGGACTCCAGTGGATTAGACATGTGAATGTCAATTTTAATCCTCCTTCTGACAGTAAGTAGCTACATGACCTGATTCATGTCACATAACCTCTCTAAGCGAAGTTTCATCATCTGTGAAATGGGTGTGACTGTATTTACCTAGCTCATAGGGAGGCAGAACGGAGTAATATTTGTAACGTACTCCATAAGTGTAATGTACTATCCTGTAGATGCAGAACTCAGTAGTTCCTTGCTCCCAGTCCTGTGCTCAATGCATTGGGCTAGTACCCGATAAAGCAGGAACACACGGACAAACAGAAATATTAATTTAGAGGTAGAAATAGACAAATGTGAAATTTATAAGCAAAAGCAGCACTTTGACTTTTCATATGCTTCAGTGTGAAAAATTGCCACTGTCCCAAAATTCTGTGAAAAGTCTAAACACCAAAGTGCAACTCCCTTCCTGTCCAACATTACACAATGTGGTGCTATTCCTCCCCACTCAAAAGATTTCACCAATTTCTTCCAGCTCTGTTCCCCACACAACTCTGCCAGTACATTATCATTTATAAGCTGCTATTTTAGCTCCAGGGTCTCTTGCTAAACGATTGATAAACATACCAAAGTGTAAAAAGCAAAAGAGGGTCCTGTGGCACCTTTAAGACTAACAGAAGTATTGGGAGCATAAGCTTTCGTGGGTAAGAACCTCACTTCTTCAGATGCAAGTAATGGAAATCTCCAGAGGAAGGTATAAATCAGTATGGAGATAATGAGGTTAGTTCAATCAGGGAGGGTGAGGTGCTCTGCTAGCAGTTGAGGTGTGAACACCAAGGGAGGAGAAACTGCTTCTGTAGTTGGAAAGCCATTCACAGTCTTTGTTTAATCCTGATCTGATGGTGTCAAATTTGCAAATGATACACACAATAGCAGATGTAAAGGTAGCCACCTTACAGCAAAAAACTTCAGGACCAGACTCCAAAGAGAAACTGCTGAGCTCCAGCTCATTTGCAAATTTGACACCATCAGATCAGGATTAAACAAAGACTGTGAATGGCTATCCAACTACAGAAGCAGTTTCTCCTCCCTTGGTGTTCACACCTCAACTGCTAGCAGAGCACCTCACCCTCCCTGATTGAACTAACCTCATTATCTCCACACTGATTTATACCTGCCTCTGGAGATTTCTATTACTTGCATCTGAAGAAGTGAAGTTCTTACCCACGAAAGCTTATGCTCCCAATACTTCTGTTAGTCTTAAAGGTGCCACAGGACCCTCTGTTGCTTTTTACAGAGATTCAGACTAACACGGCTACCCCTCTGATACTTGATACCAAAGTGTGTGGCGGGTTTCTAAGGAGCACAGATTTAGTTAGGAAGCAGTGTACTGAATCTTAAAGGAAAGCATATTTCCTCTGATGTGCTAAGAGATCAGAACTTTTGCAAGATTCTGAAGTGCTGGAAGAGCAGGATATCTATAAAATTTTAATATCCGGTTTCTTGAAAAGAACAGAAAGGAGAAGAGATTGAGATAAAAAGAGTTACTTGAATACATACATCCCACAAATGATAATCATCCAGCCACCAAAAACAAGTTAAAATAAAATGTGATCACTGACCTAAAAGTTGTGTCTGTATATTATATATAAAATTAGACTTTTTATAGATAGGGGGAAGAGAACTTATTTTATTTCCTAAAAGTTTAGGAATTAGTACAATTGTTACAGTAAAAGTCAATGGGCCCAAATTTCAATAAGCCTATCTTAACCTATCACTAGGGTGGAAGGCCATATAATTACCTTAAGTTTCCTAGAAGGCTACTGTATCTAACAGTTTGCACATCTGAATACTTCTGCCCTGATCTTTGCAAGCATGACAAAACTTGGGAGACTTTGCTGCTCATTTTAGATACTTCTGGTCAGGAAGAAAAAAAAAAAAAAAAAAAGCTGCTAGAGCAACAGTGAGGATGCTCAGACTCCTCCTATGCTGTAACAAGAGGACTGGATAGAAGGTACCATGCTAGATTCTCATGGAATCTATTTTATTTAAGAGCTAGAACAGGTGTGGAATGGGCGGTGGGAGCTCTGGCAGAGACAAGCGAGGAACAAGTCAGCCTGGAACAGGGAGAGGTTGCTCTGGGGATACATCTGCCTCACTGGCAGGGCAGAAATAGCTTGGCGAGTGGCAAGTGGTGGGTAGGCCCCTCTGAAGCAGCTCTGTAGGTAGTAGGCTGTAAGAGAAAAGCATCGGAGCACAGCAGCCCTGGCTGTGACTGGGGAAACAGCCGATAACCACAGCCTCACTTCCAGCTTGTTCTGCAGGCATATTATTCCTGCCCACCCTGAGTTATGGTTGAAAGGGTCTATAGGCAAAATCAGCCATGCTCATTTCAGACATGACCATACATAGCTCCTTATCATGCTCTAAAACCTTTGTGCCTGAGAGGCCTGATTCAAAGCCAACTAGAATCAATACAAAGACTCTCATTGACTTCAGTGGTCTTTGGTCAGGGCCTTAGCACCATACATTATATTGGCTCAGCTTCAGGGAACAGTGTTGGTTAGTTAACCAATGCTTCACGACCAGCGATGGGAGCATAACATTTCAAATTCTCTACAAAAGGACGTTTCCACCCTCTACCCCGTCCAGTCAAACTGGATATTAAAATCTCAGAGCTATCTAATTCTAAACAGCTGTAGGGTAGGTCAAATTATTAATCATCTTCCCAGAATCTCTAACCCTCTGTTCTGTAGAATAATGTAATTCAAGAGAGTATTTTTCCTTCTTGAAAAATCAGTATTAGCAGAATAAAGTTGTGCTTCCCTAAACCTGAAGTTGTGCATTTCTAACTAAGTTCTTTGGGGCAGGGATTGTCACTCACTGGCCCTGATTCAGGATAACACTTGAGCACGTGCTTACTTACATGCAGTCTTGAACAGGGATGGATTTAGGCATGGGTTTACCTGGACTCTGGCTACAATGGGAACCCTAATCTAGCACCAGTCTTGATGGGGGCCCTCCAAGCATTTCTACAATAGAAACCATAAATAATAGTCTAGAACCTTGAATTAAGAAATGTATTGCACATTTACAAAGCCTCTCAGATACCAGGCACATTAGAGATGTCTAAATAGATACAACTATATTATCACTTTTCATTTATCATTTAAAATTGTCAATTTTCTTTCTGGAGCTGGGAATTCTTTATTTGGCTAATTCTAGTAAATTATCCAGCTGTTCACTCCCCAAAATTGGGGAAACTAGATTTGTTTAGCTCTTAGAATGTGCTCATTGCTATACATTTCACAGAAATAAAGATAGTCCAAGCTCCAGAGAGATAACAGAATCTTACAACCATATACTACATACAGGAGGCACTGGTTTATTCGGTATCAATTTCCTGGGGAAGATCTGCACCATACATTTATAAAGCAAACCCTTGACAGATTGCTTTTTAAAATAAATAAAATTAAATTACCTAAATTTTGTATATTCTTCTGGTCTTCTTTTCCATGTGCAGTTCTGTATTTTTGTCACTATCTGAAGGTAATAATCTTCAGAGTAACCTAAAAAAAAAAAAAAAAGGGAAAAAAGGGGGGGGGAAGAA